TTATGTGTGCTGTGGGCAATACACGTATGTATCCAACGCTGCCTGTATGCTAAACAGCACGTGTTTTAGTATTTCTATTTTTAAACTTGGTGTAACGGACAAATGGGTCCGATAATGATGCAGCCGCTAACGCTAGCTTCGTGTACACCAGGGCGTTTTGGACGTGACTTTATCTAACTGTTCACCTGCCCGGCTGCCGCAAATTTAACTCAGACTTGTCGTGCTTTTGTCATGAAAGCGTGGCGTGTGTTATTAGCTGGCTGTGCTGCATCCTTAGCGTTGGTAAATTACAACGCGAAGGGTTAAGGTGCCGTTAAAGTTGCTAACTATAATCCGTGGTGATGATAAAGCCTGATATGTGTGTGTGTGTGTGTGTGTGTGTGTGTGTGTGTGTGTGTGTGTATATATATATATATATATTAGCGTCAGGAGAAGCTCCACGGTTTATGTGTCATCTTTTTGTTTAGTCGTTTTAAAGCAACGCAATAGTAAATGCGTAGAATCGCCAATGATTTAACGTTATATTTGTTTTGTTGTTAATGTGCTTTCCCCTCTTCCTGAGTGAGATAGGCTTGCTATGCAAATTAGTTAATTTTGGGTTTTCCGACTAAACCTGTTGACGATATAAAGTGAAGTGTGCAGATGTCAATGGTGACACAAATGGGCCAAAGTGCACTTAGTAATAAGGGGAGCGGTTACTTCCTCGTCTTTCTTCCCATTTATCTGAGTCATCTTGTTTATGTCTTAGGCTTAACCTTACCCTTGCCCTTGTTTTTTTGCATGGACTCACAAAACTCTACCTTCAGCTGTCTTAGTCAATGACACATGTCCATTTTTCACCTCTCTGCAGTGTGCTCAGGTGGGAGACTGGCAGAGTGCCAAGACAATATACGAGTTCTCTGCCAAGGATATTGATGGCAGCGAGGTTTCTCTTGAGAAATACAAGTAAAGTATATATAACATAATATGTGTCCATATGCTATAAATAAGGCTGAGGAATTACTGACTTCCATAGAGTTTGAAAGAACCGCAGTACAGAGTGGTATATTTCTCACTGTTGTAATGTTTAGGCATCACATAGAAGCAGTAGAATTGTTTACTCAGTTTAACCTATTTGTTCTGTTTCTCCCTGTCAGAGGGTATGTATGCATCATCGTAAATGTAGCCTCTAAATGAGGAAAGACCAAGGTAAACTACACTCAGCTAGCGGGAATGCACGCCTCCTATGCTGAGCAAGGTTTACGCATCTTGGGCTTCCCATGCAACCAGTTTGGAGGGCAGGTAAGCACAATATACTGATCTTTTGTTTTTATTTTGTGCTCTATCGCATGATTACAGTATTGTCAATGTTGCCATTAACACAACACATGACCCTTGAACTGTTAAACTACTGCCTGTTCATCTTAAACGTTTCCTCCAACTCACTGTTCTTTTGGAATAAAGTGATCTGGCAGGATGAAAGTAATTTTAATAATTATTCATTCTGAATATGTTTTATTCATACTACAATAGAAAGCCTTTATTGTAACTGTACAACATCTACAACCAGAATAGGAGTATTTCTTCTAATCAGTGCAAAACCAAACAACAAGAAACTGTTGAGACAGACAAACAAAAGGACACAAAAGAGTGCTGCACATAAGACAAGGTTGCACTGAATGTATTAAATTTAAAAGAAATAGAAGGTTCTTTGCTGAGTAAAGGCCCTTTTAGGGGGCTTTCACACCTGAAAGTCCGCACCAAGGTCCGAACCAAAGTTCATGTTTTGATACTTTTGGTTAGTTTTCAAGCTGTTGAAAATAACTGGTATCATAGAGCAGCGGTGATGTTGACATTGAATCTTAAAGAGGCTCGGCAGAAACTGTTAAGTGTTCTCAAAGTATGCAGAATTTAGTGAGCTTAATCAGCTCACAAAACTTATTTTTTCTAACAAAGATTTTTTATTATTATTATTTTTTTTGTATGATCCAGGAACCAGGGACTGATGCAGAGATTAAAGAGTTTGCCAAAGGTTACAATGCAGAATTTGACCTCTTCAGTAAGATTGATGTGAATGGAGACAACGCTCACCCTCTCTGGAAGTGGATGAAGGCACAGCCCAAAGGCAAAGGACTCCTGGGAAAGTGAGTTATTGTATCTATTTTTCTGTTTACTTGACAAATGGTTTTAAGACACTGTGTACACAAAATGAGTAATGGCCTTTAGAGGAACATGAATTTAACACTTTTTTTCAGTGAGTTTTGATTTCTGCACGTCATTGTTACATAATGAACATTATGTGTTGTAAAATGTTTCACAACTTTATTACATCATTGACAAGATTCTATCATGGTCGCCTCAATACAACAGCTGATGGTGAGCTAGTGTCAAAGGACATATAAGTCATCTTTGTACTTATGTGCCACTGTATCAATACCATCTGCACTTAATACAATACCCCTAATAACCTGCCAGTAAGCTGGAAAAGTCATACAAATGGATGGGGGAGAAGTAGATTATG